AGGCCATTTAAGCGGGGTGGAGGGGTGGGGGCGGGTAGGGTCTGGATTTTCAGGTTCCTTCCATCTCACCGGGATGGTCAGAATCCCCACTGATTTTTAGTCAGATTTTGTGGGAACTCTTCTTCCTTGCACTGGAACCCCGGGTTCGGAAGCCCTGTGTGGGGCTAGGATCCCTTACTCCTTCAGGGGTACCTCTGCAGCCACTATAGCCCTCCCAATACTCAACTGCCACATGTGGGTGCTGGGCCAGCCATTTTGTGTCTCCGCCCCTCCTACTGGTCTCGATGTGGCATCTTCTTTATATCTTCAGTTATATATGATATGTTCAGCTAGACTTCATTCAGGTGGTTCTTCAAGTTGATTGTTTTGTAATTTGGTTATAATTTTAATGCAGTCATGGGAGGGGCCAAACCTAGCCTGCCTTTTTTTTACCTAGCCTGCCATCTTGCCCACCCTCTGTTTGTCAGTGCAGTTTAAGGAATTGCTTTCTGAGAGTCAGAGCTGTACAAAGTGGAATGCACTGTATGGGATATAGTGAATATCCTGTCAGTGGGGGTATTCAATTGCAGACTGGATGATGGCATGGTGGGGATATTGTAGGATGGGTACTTGGGCTAGAACTAGGTTGAACTTTGAGTCTCTCCAACTGAAAATCTTTTATTCATGCACGCAGGTCTCAGATGTGGCATATTGCAGGCTGTAGGAAGATAGTGGGGCTCAGCAGGTTAACAGCAAGCTGGCCCAGAAACCCAAAGGCTAATATATTCTTGTTCTTCTATTGTTGATTCAGCATTAAATTATTTCCTTTTTCTGTTTAACTTTTAATGCAAGTACAAATATTCATTTAGTACTTTAGTGCAAAGCAATCCTGTTTAAAAAATAAGAATGGAAGTGTCCACCAAGTTATGAATGGAGTTTGAAAAATAACATGTATCATGATCTCAAAGTCAGTAAATACTAAACAGCAATGTGTAAAACATATTGTCCACAACTGCCTTTACTCATCATTACAGGTATTAGATGATTAAGCATTAGACAGGAAACCCAGTCTCCTTGATACCAAGGACACAAATCCCTGTCCATGGGACTGACATTATCTTTCCCATGAAAAGACATCTAAACATCTACCTGAGAATGTTCCCATGCCTGGCTCAGGAGTAATGGTTTCAAATTAAATCTCATAAAGTCTTGCCACCATGTGATACAGCAATTCCACTTCTAAGTAAATACCCAAAAAACTTATAACAGGGATTTGAACAGGTACTTGTATACCCATGTTCATAGCAGCATTATTCGCAGGGGTGAAAAGGTGGAAGCAACCCAAATGTCTACTGAAGATGAATGTCTAAGCAAAATGTCACAAGTACATACAATGGGATATTATTCAGCCTTAAAAAGGAAGAAAATTCTGATATATGCTACAACATGGATGAATCTTGAGGACATTATGCTAAGTGAAATGAGCCAGCCACAAAAGGACATGTATTATACAATTCCACTTATGTGAGGTACTAAGAGTAGTCAAATTTATACAGATAGAAAGTAGAACGGTGGTTGCCAGGGGCCGGGGGAAACGGGGAGGGGAATAGAGAGCTATTATTTAATGAGTATAGAGCCTCTGTCTAGGGAGATGAAAAAAATCTGAAGCTGGATGGTGGTGATGGCTGCACAACAACATGAATGTATTTAATGCCACTGAATTGTATGCTTAAAGAGGTTACAGTGTTAAGTTTCATATTATGTTTATTTTCCTACAATAAATAAAAGTCTTGCCAAACTGATGATACCTGCATGGTTCTACCCTTCTCCTGTCTAGAAAATATTCAGAAAGATTTGGATGGGTTGCTTTAGGGTAAGGAATTGATGTAAAAGGTGGTGCTTATTTGAACATTACTTACATTTTTTAAAGTGTATTATTTGTTCAGGAACATAACATTCTTATACATGCATTTTGGCTTAATCATATATTAATCATGCTTGGTATATTACATCGACTAGTCTACCCTATCTTTTTAAATACTAATTGTACACTTATTAATTGGATTAACATTCAAATATACTTTTGGTTAAAAATAGAAACTGAAATTGAAAAAAAACTGAGTATATTTTATTTTATTTCATTTTTTGCAAGTTTATGAGAAGTGGGAAATTTTTTTTTCTATCTCAACATCACAGTAGCAGCCGGGCTGGAAGCTGATGTGATGCCTCATTAATTACTAAGAGGATGTCTGCCTTGATTCTGAGCTTCTACTTCCATCCAGCGTTTCTGTCCTTTTAACTGGTCCCTATTTCTCATTCTTGCTCCTGTCTCTGCCACAGGTCTGGAGCACTCCCAAGTGTCTTGGTTGTTACAGGTGGACTTTGCCTACTGCCTACTTTCATAGCTTTCCAAGTACTCCAGTGTCTCCTTTCTCTTGCCAGTCACCTCCCAAGGTCTGGCTCCTGGCCCTGCCCCCAAACATGGTGTGAAGGGGGCCCTTCTTTTAGGTGACACATTTCCCTGATGCTGCCTACCCGGACCCCTCTGAGTGCCCAGCAACTCTTCTCTGCCCATGCATTGGGGCATCCCACTTCTGGGTCTTGACTCAGGGCCCAAGACAGTTGAACTGCTGGACTCCATGACTAGTCGGTGAGACCTCACAGCCGGACCACTCCCTCCCCTAATTATCAGCCAGACCTTCTCTCCCAGTGGCCCTGAACTACAGTATCTACTTCCAGGGTCTCCTTGCCTGCACCATCCTGGAGCTTGTAATTCTCTACTTCCCAAGAGATTCTTGAATAGGAGACATGCTGAGCCACAGTATGGGGGTGATGGTTAGCCTCTGGGAACTGGGGCTGACAGAGAAAATCAGGTGACCCCAGCCAAGGAAGGAATTCTGTAGAGCAGCAGTCCCCAACCTTTTTGGCAACAAGGACCAGTGTTCGTATGATAATTTAATGCCTAATAATCTGAGGTGGAGCTGAGGCAGTGATGCTAACACTGGGGAGCGGCTGCAAATACAGATGAAGCTTTGCTTGCTCACCTGCTGCTCACCTCCTGCTGTGCGGCCCGGTTCCTAACAGGCCACGGACCAGTACTGGTCCATGGCCCAGGGTTTGGGGACCCCTGCTGTAGAGGCAGGAAGGAAACTGACTAGGGTGTAGAGTTTCCTCCAGGCCTCATCCCAGGGAGGCTACAGCATCTCCATCTGTTCCAGCCCAGCTGGTCTCCCCTTTCCCTTAACTCCTGTCGTGGGTGTTTTCTATATCACACTGTGAACCTTCTGTCATACAGCACTTTGTATGGTGACTGTGTGCTCTGTATGGTTTATGTCACCAACCAGCTTCCAGTGGAAGCTTGAACTCAGGTATGTGTTATATGCTCAACAAATACCAACTTAAAGTCTTTGAAGCCAGTATCATCCCTTAAAAAAATTTGCTTGGCACAGGCAATTTGCTAAGTGGTTTATATGGATTAGCTCACATAGTCTTCAAGACATTATGAAGTAGGCAATATTACCACTCTCTATTACAGTTGAGGAAACTGAGGCATAAATAACTTGCACAAGATCACTCTGAAAAAGCAGAGGAGCTGGCATTTGAACTGAGGCCGACTGCCCCTTGGTAGCACATAGCTTTCCCTTTGACGGAAAGAACTGACTCATCAGCCCAGCAACCACAATTCCCCAGCCATTACCACACCGCAGGCTGCTGATTTATAGTTCAGAATGGTCAGAAGAGAAAGGAGACTAGAAACAGAGCAGTCCATTCATTCATTCACTTATTCTCTCAATAAACAACCTTATGCCAGTCATGTACCAGGCATGGGTATGAGCCTGTCTGGCTCATGTCTTTGTACATCTTTCCTCCTCCTGGCTACCTGCGGCTCACCCTTCTTTGCCTGGTGACTGATGGCTTGGCCTTAAAGACTCAGCCAAGATCTCTTCTCCAGGAAGGACTTCACCTTATTCATCGCAATCAGCACATGGTTAGGGCTTCAGAAATGTATATTTTGACTTAATGTGTCCCTTATAGTTTCATATTCCACCCCTGCCTCCAGCTCTGGTGCTTGTAAGCTGCTGACATTTTGGGATTGACGGGGGAGTTTCTGCTTCAGGAGTTTTGGGGGGTTACTTTTTAAAAAGCGGTACAGGTATATCCTGCTTTACATAATAAAACTATTTTAGAAAGATTGTGGATACATGAACTTTTTATGAATTGAAATCCTATTTTTTCATTGATGTATGTTTCAGAGATGACTTATTTTAAATTGCTATTTAACTTCACTTTTCAAAAAATCCTGGGCTCTAATACTTTAAGAACAAGCTTCTCTTAATGGAACCTCTCTAGGAATTTAACAATCCATACACAGTCCCTTAAGCACTGTGACATACCTTTACATTTAAAGGAACACTTCTGGAATCTTTTGCAAAACTAGTGATCACCTTTAGTGGATTTTAATGGTCAGATTTGGGGAGCTCGAATTAATTCGGATTTGTGTGTACATAGCTAAAGTAAAATAGAACTACGTAGCTAAAACAAAAAATGAGCACTTCTCCACAAGCCGCCCTCCCCCACCCTGGAGCAACCTCATTCGACTCCTTTTGGCTCAGCGATTTTCCTGTACTTGTGTGGAGTCAAAGCTGCAGCCCGCAAGCCACAAAGCTTCAATGAAAGCATTTCTCAAGCCCTGATGATACTGATGGGCACAGCCAGGCTGAGCCAGCATGAAGTATCATGGTCTGACTGTCAGCCTGCTCAGCAGATGCTGGAAGAACACTCCCACATGTGGTCTCCAATAAAGGATACCTTCCTCAAATGCCTTGAAGGGTGACACTGAGGTAGAGCGGGCTACAGTCTTAGGACAAGTTAAGAAAGGCCTGGAATAGAGGAATAGAGATAGAAGATATTAGATGCCCTCGGCACATAATCCTTCTCTCTGCTTGGGAGAGTTCCGTGGCCACAGTGCCCATAGCAACAGCATCCAAAAAGAAATTTGGGGGCTGTTGTTTGTAACTTACTTGTGCATGTTTTTTTATCTGGGTTAAGGGAAAATCCTTTAGGGCACCGGCAAAAGTAGGAGCCGTCAGCATTCACACACTCATGTTCACATCCATGGTCTTCTGAGGCACAGTAGTCCACAGCTGTGAAGATTAAAACACGGAGTTTAAGTAGAAATGCAAACAGAGGTGAAGGGAATGGTAGAATAGAAGCATACTTATAACAAATATAAATAAAGATTAAATACTATTGCCCAAAAAAGAATTTGAATAAATAAATATGAACCCAAGGCCTCCTTCCCGCAGATATAAAAATCAGAAGCCTAGGTCAGGCACCTTATATCAGAAGATAAACTAAAGAACATAGAAACAATTATTTTTAAAAGTTATGCAAACCGAAACAATCACCAGACACACTTATACCTATTAAACAGTAAAAATAAAGACAAGATAAAATCAGCAGTGGCATGGTAGCATGAAAACAGAATCTGAGTTAGTAATGGTGGGTAGCATTATAAATGGATAAAAATCCTTTTGGAAGGACATTTGACAATGTTCACCCTGACCCAAAGAAATAATTTTTAGAAATGGGAAATTAACTAAGTGGAATAAGCTATTTATATAGCAGCATTGCTTACAGTGACAAAAAAAATCTGTAAAATAAAATGAACATTTAGTAAGAGTAAATGGGTTAGTAATTTATGAGAAAATACACTAGTTTATTTCTCAAATATTTACTGAGCACTGACTCTGGACCTGGCCCTGTTTTAGGTGGTAAGGATACAGCAAATAACAAATCAGAGAAAAATTCAGTCCTTGAGGAGCTCACATTTGGATGATGGTGGTGGTGGCAGACAAAAAATAAATTAATGGCATAGTTTTTTAGAAGGTAGAGAGTGTTCTGGAGAAAAATAAAATGGCAAAAAGAAATAGACTGTGGGGATGTGGGAGGAGGGTGTGATGTAACAGAAGTGGTCAAGAATGGCCTTGCCGAGAAGGTGGCAGTTGGGGCAGAGTCTGGAATGAGGTACGAGCTGTGAGGATATCTGGGAAAGGCATCCTGGTCAAAAGGAAGAGCAAGTGCAAAAGCCAGGAGGTGGGAACAGGCCTGGTGTGCTGCAGGATCAGCGAGGAGGCCAGGGGGCCTGGAACAGAGAGAGCTGGGAGATGGGAGTGAGTGCAGATCAGGAGGGACTGAGGCCACTGCAAGGACCTTGGCTTTTACTCTGAGAGCAGGGAGTCATTGGAGAGTTCTGAGCAATGGAATGGAGAACAGACCATAGAGAGAGAATGTGACAGCAGAAAACCAGTTAGGAGGCTACTCAATAATCTCAGCAAGAAATGATGAAGGCTGAAACCAAGATGGTATGGGAAGGAGTGGGGGTGGGGGAGGGAAATGGTGTTCTGGGTGTTGTGGGTTGAACTGTCCCCTGAAAAAGTATGTTGAAGTCCTAACTCCTAGTACCTGCAAATGTGATCTTATTTGGAAATAGGATCTCTGCAGACATACTTAAGATGAGGTCATTAGGCTGGGCTCTAATTCAGTATGACTGGTGGCCTTACAAGAAGAGGACAACGCCATGTGAAGACACAGACGCACAGGAGAACACCATGAGAAAGCAGAGACTGGAGAGGCGCTTTCGCAAGCTGAGGAATGCCAGGGATCAACGGCCACCACCCAAAGCAAGGGAAGAGCCTCTCCTACAAGCTGCAGAAGCAGCATGGCTCTCCAGGAACCTTGATTGCAGACTTCTAGCCCCCAGAAGTGTCAGACAATCATTTCTGTTGTTCTAAAATGCCCAGTTTGTGGTCTTTTATTATGGCAGCCCCAGGAGACTAATACACTGGGTGTATGTTGGAGGTGGGCCAATAGGATTCCTGGCGGGTCTAGAGGCAGGGCGAGAGAGGACTTAGGGGTGATTCCACGGGGTTTGGTGTGAGCAGCTGATGGGATGGAGCCGCTGGTAATTGAGATGGAGAAGGTGTCATGGCGCAGGTTTTGTGGGGAGAAGATCCGGAGTTCCATTTTGGGCATTAGGCAGTTATTAACATTATAATTCTAACATAATTGTAAATAGGAAGAAAAACAAAATTTTGTGAAAAATTAGACCTCGAAATTGTATATTTACAGTGATTATATCCAAGTAAAATATAGCTCTAAGGCAAAGCCTGGAAATTAGAAATAAAAATGCTTGTTGTGTTAGGCGGTAGGATTATGAATGGCTTTTTTTTTTTTCCTTTAAAAAATGTTTCCCTCTATTATAGTTTAGGCTATTTTAACATCAAAAATTTATAGATAATAAAGAAATGGAATCTACAAAATTAATACACATATATAATTTTTAAAAATCCATGCAAGGAGAACATAACAACATACTTAATACAGTAATCAAAAGGGAAAAGCTAAAGATATTTAAAGGGTAATAACCTGTGTTGTGTTTATTCTTTTGCTCCAGGCTTCATTAAGTTTCTGCGTAAAGTATCATTTTTGTAACTTTGCTTCCCTAGAGAGTTCTAATAGTATCTAATATTTGTGGATTTAATATACAAGTCGCTACGATGGGAGCAGGGCACTCAGGATCTGAATGTCACGGACATTAACCAGTTGCTGCAGTTGAGTTATGATGTAACTGTTGAGCTAGCACCAAATCCTTCTAAAGGTTAATGTCTCATCTTTCGAGAAGCAATGCATTATTAACAAATAATTGAGGACACTGAAATTATTTTAGCAGTAGGCACTCCCACCTCCAGCCTCTTCATGCTGGGCCTTGAAAGTCTCCCAATCCCTGACGTGGGTGTCTGCTGTCAATCAGCCAGTCCTAACTCTGGTCAGCCCCTTCTTAGCACCCCCTCCAAAGAGAAGAGCTGTTAATCTGACTTCCAAGTCCCAGGATGCTGAAAGTACTACAATGATGTGTGGGCGTCGTACTCCAAAGGCAGAAACTCAGGCTCTACCTCTGGAACTTCCTATCACATACCTTGGGGGTGACCTCTGAGCCCCGCCGTCTCTACCTCTCAGAGAGACAGCTGACTGTGCTGGCCCCATATCAGAATGGGGAGAAGTTAGAGGCTTTGGTCAGGCCTAAAGTCTAAGCCACATACTCCAAACTCATCTTTTTTCAGAATGCTCTAGAATAGAGAATCTAATGTTGGCTCAGGCATTAATCAAGTTACACAAAAGAAACCCCTTTAATTGAACTCCACTTAACCAACTCCTGATCAGTCAATGTTTTTCATTCCCTCTGAAAATATGGGACTTGATGCCCAGAGCATTCTAAATGCTCCGGGCTGTTGGAACACCTGTGCACTTCTCTACCAGCCGGGTTGTATGCTCACAAAGCAGTCTTGGAGGAACACCTGTGTACCTCTCCCGCTGACTGACTGTGTGCTTTAAACATTAGTTCTCAAAGTGTGATCTGTGAACCAGCTGCGTCAACTAGCGTTTGGGAACTTGTCAGTAATACAAAGGCTCAAGAGCCTCCCCAGACCTAATGAATCAGAAACTCTGGGTGTGGGGCCCAGGGGTACGTGTTTTCACAAGCCCTCCAGGGGACTTTGATGCATGCTAAAATTTGAGAACCAGTATTATAAAGAGTCGAAGTTGTTTTGTTTCCAAATCTATATATGCCATTTGTACATTATTGTAATTAACTGAAATACTATGAAAATCAATAATGTAAGCACTAAAAGAAATTGAGTTTTTTAAAAGTAAAAACTAAATTGAAAGTTTTGTAAAGACTTAATTAAGGCAATTTACTAACCAAAATTGCTACAGAAACAGGCATGGATGAAACAAGTGTAAAAGATTGGGGGAAATTTCTTAAAAATTTACAAGTATTCTGCCCTTACATTGCTTTAAAGAAATCTTGAAATTGTTGCTGCAATTAAAAGAAACCAAACTGAAAATGATAGACGATACATTTTGGGTATGGTTTATGCAATAAAGAACTTTTTAAATGACTTTTTTCCAAATGAACTTAAAGTTAGTAATTTTTGAAAGTGAAATTAAAAGTAATTTTTATTGAAAGTAAATGTATGCATTGTAAATAAAAATAAAATGGTTTATATATGTACTTTTTATGATTCTGCTTTTTAAATGACATTTTCCATCAATCAGCCAACCACAGGTCTAATATCATGGGATAAGAGGGCTTCTGGACTTGGATTCTTGTGCTAGTTTTGTTTTTTGTGTGCACAGCTCTTTGGAAACCGAGGGGGAGAGGAGAAATTGGCAAGGTAGGATTC